CTCCATCTCCATACACTTTAAATGGCGACTTGCACACAATCCAGATCCACTGTCTTTCATTTATAAGAGTGGGAGCCAGAGAAGAGATAACAGGCAAACCCCCCGGGGGCAATATGAAGAAAGCCATACTGACCAGCATTTTTAGCTGACCAGCAGCCACTCCCCTGACTGGTCTGATAACAAAGCTTTTACTGTCATGGGCATCCTTTATAACAGATGATGATTGCTCTGCCGTTCATTTAATTTTATTTTTTTTTAAAAAATCTGAATTCAGGATGGAGCTCGATTTGCTTGGGTTTCTCAAGCAGACTCTTCTGTGCCGTGGGCGTGCCTAGCTGGGACACGTTAAGTGCTGCGCCCTGTTTCCCATGTTCTGCATTTCGCCTCTAGTTCACGAGAACTTTCTGTCTTGAGCTGAATTCTGACTCCAGGTTCGGGGCCATCTTTAGGGGGAGTGCAATGGCCAGGGGAAGGCATACGGTGCCCTGATCCTCTCCACCAAGTCGACTCTTGAAGGCAAACACATGTTAAAAGGAACCCAGAGGGAGCTTTGGAGGGCATAAGCTTAGCAGAGGCAATGTCCGAAGGCTGTTCGACTTTCTGGGTCGGAGGGCGTGGGAGGAGGTGGAGGCCGTGTATATGAAAGGGCCTTGGATGGTTTTTAGCACAACAGGTCAATCCTTGCCCCCATTTTCCATGTTCTTCTGGAACCTTCATCAGCAAGTGAAGCATCATGGGCTTCATAAAAGACCAGGTCACCAGATGGGAAATAAGGTGACGGGCCTTTCGCTTTTACTTGGAGATGTGTCCACCATGAATCAAAACTAAGCCTCACATGTTTTCTTTTGAGACAGAGACATGACAGATAGGGTCATGAATGCCCCAGAGACATTTCCTGAAGTACGGTCTCTTTAGAAATGGTCAACTTTGGGAGAGCTGGCCTAAGGCTTGGTTGGGATTGGCTTAGGTTTGGAAAGACCTATGTAATGGGAGCCGAGTTGCACTCTTTCCTGCTCCTTTAGCTGTTGGCACCATCAAGGAAATCTGGAAAGATGTATTAGTTAATCTATGATTACTACTGTCCTTTAATTTATTTTTAATATATTTTTAAAAATTTTATTTTTAATGATCTCTATACCCACTGTGGGGCTCGAACCTACAACCCCGAGATCAAGAGTCACATGCTCCACCGACTGAGCCAGCCAGGCTCCCCTGCCTTTTATTTTTTATTATTAAAGATTTTATTTATTTTTTCATGAGAGACAGAGAGAGAGAGAGAGAGGCAGAGGGAGAAGCAGGGTCCCCACCGAGCAGGGAGCCTGATGCGGGACTCGATCCCAGGACTCTGGGATCATGACCTGAGCCGAAGGCAGACGCTTAACCATCTGAGCCGCCCAGGCGCCCTCCCCTGCCTTTTAATTCTTATCTGCCAATTTAGGAACCCAAAACTCTAGCTCAACTGAGGATGTGGTGGGTTTGAATTCATAATCTCCTTCTTTGATCGTCAATAATAGGAGTCGTTATGGAGAAAAGGAAGAATGGAGAAGGAAGATTAGTACATTGCTCAGGACAGGGAAATGCACATCATTAGAGAAAGAGTCATTTCTCCTCCATTAGACTTGAGGCACATTAGTCTCCAGGTCGGCCACAGCTCTGAATTCTCTTCCTAACCTGGGATGAGTACGCACTTGACTAAATGGGGCAATGAGTTGGGTACTGGTTGATAACTTACGGCTAAGTTGCAAAGTGAAATAGTGCCTATCCTGGGGCTTAAATGGAACACTTTGATTCTTCCTTGAACCTTTGGATTATGAAAGCGACTTCTTGGAAAATGAAGCTAAGCCACACGTACAGCTCAACATCCAAATGTTTGATTGACTATTCATTTCCAAGAGAAATAGAAACAAGAGAAACAAATGAGTGTTTCAACACTGCTTCAGAATAGATTGAAAAGCAAATGATTTAGCCCATCAAAATCCTGGGCTTATTTATTTATTTATCTATGTATTGACTTTACTTCCAAAGAAATGGTTGTTTTGGTTGTCAATAGACTTTGCTGTAGGATCACAACACCTGAAGTCAATATTCTATCTTAGCAGGATAATCACTGCTGAGTGGGAAATTGCCATGTCTGAAATTACTGATGGGAAAAACAAAAAACAAAAAACATGTTGGTAGAAGACCACACTTGAGACTCTTCAATTTTATGTCCTTCTCAAAGCTTCTGGATGAGAGTTCATTTATATGGAGAGAAGTTCTTTAGTGAAACATTCAAAATAACAAACATCAATTAGAGGCTGTGCTCATGGGATGTCTTTCATCTTCAGGCCTGCGAGTGCTCTACAAACACTCATTAAATCCTTCCAAATGTTGCTGCTTCTAGGTGCTAGTATCTTCCTTCCCACTGAGAAGGAAGTGATGGTGTCAGGAGAGTTCTTTGTGTGGGGTGCGGTCATCATTTCAAATGCACGGTTCCCCAGGGTAGAATATAGGAGTGCATCTAGACATTTTAACAAAACAAATACAGAGGGAGCCACAATTCCTTAGCAGAATACAAACTGATGAGTGGAAACCTTGCAAGAGTTTGTACCTTCTACTAGCCAAACCATTCTCCGGGCAAGACAGGTCATATGTTCTAAGGTGTATATAACTTTTCATCGAATACATTTATTTCATGGCCTGTTTTCTCTTAATTATATACTCCCCGCCTGTATGTCTAGTGGAAAGACACAACTTTGGCTTCATCGCTGCAAAGACATTGGTGAATTTGGAATCCAACCTCTATAAACATTTGTATTCTTGGAATGAGGGCAAATGTCTCCACAGAAAAAGCCTTCCTTTGGTCACAGTGTTTCGCGTTGCTTTAGTTTCGAAACTTCTGCTAATGCATCTGGACGACAGTTTGGTGGGTTGGTTGATTTGTGCCCCATGTTTATGCCTCTCCCAGCTCCAGCGTCTTCCTGGTTCCCACCTTTTGGAGAAAGAATTGGATGAATCTACATTGCCGGAGAGGAATGGGCTGGAATGAGCTACTGAGGCTTGCTGTGGCTGGGAGAAATGGGATCATCCAGAGGTCAGAAAGAGCCGTGGGAGGGAAGAGGGAACTATGTCTCCTTATTTTGGCGAGTGGCGCTGGGAGTCACCCTGCTACCAGAACTAGAGCCTGGCGGTTGTCCATAATTCCTCCTTGTTTGCCTCTAATTGGCCATAAAATCCTGTTGATATTCCCTGCAGAACTATCCTCATGGCATTAGTTCAAACCCTCCTCATTTTTTTAGCCTGAATTTTTCCAACGGTGTCCTGACAGGTCTCTTTGTCTCTCATCTGGGTCCACCCGACAATCACGTCCATGTTGCCGTCAAACGGAGCTTCCAGCAGCCCCAGTATGACCGCATCTGTCCCCTGTCACGCTCTTCCTGGCTTCCCTACTGTTCTCCCAATAGCGTCCAGGTTCACAAGAGGCCACGGCGCTGGGGGGTCAGTGTCCTCAGTGATGACTGTCATCACTCCGCCTGTGGCCCGTGTTTCAGCCCTTCCGGCTCTCTTGCATGATCTTGTGGCTTTGCCGACCCCTCTGCCTGATTCAGATGTCAGCTCCTCCAGAAAACCTTCCCTAAAACTGCCACCTCCACCCAGACCTGGATGAAGGAAGACCCCGTTCATCAGCCAGCAGCACCCTGTGCTCACCTGTGTCAAGCATTTGTCAAACTCAGTCATTGTGTCTTTGCCTCCCCCCAAGACAATCAGCTCTTTTTAAAATTTTTAAAAAAAATTTTAAAGATTTTATTTATTTATTTGACAGTGAGAGAGAGAGAGAGACAGCGAGAGAGGGAACACAAGCAGGGGGAGTGGGAGAGGGAGAAGCAGGCTCCGCACCGAGCAGGGAGCCCGATGTGGGGCTCGATCCCAGGACCCCGGGATCATGACCTGAGCCAAAGGCAGACACTCAATGGCTGAGCCACCCAGGTGCCCCAGCTCTTTTTTTTTTTTTAAAGGATTTTGTTTATTTGAGTGAGTGAGAGAGAGAGAGAGAACAAGTGGGGGGAAGGGCAGAGGGAGAGGGAGAAGCAGGCTCCCTACTGAGCATGGAGCCTGAGGTGACAGGACCCGAGATCATGACCTGAGTCAAAGGCAGATACTTAGTGGACTGAGCCACCCAGACGCCCTAGACCTCAAGCTCTTTAGGGGCAAAGAATGTCTTTCATCCCTAAAGCCTCCCATACAGCAAGGAGTATAATGTTGGTGGATAAAAGTTTGCAAAATGAGTGATTTAAGAATTCAGCATTGGATTTCATTGTTTGTAGAAAAATGTTCAGAGATTCTTCTCATGTTGTATTTTGTTGACTGCTCTATGACGCATATATTTGTATAAAGTTTGGCATTCACAGACGTATTCTTAAACGTTGTGCTCTTGGGTTGCACAGCTCCTGTTCATGGGACCCCTGTGAAGAGCAAGGTTTCATTTACACCTTGAATCGGTATCCACAGGTGTTGTTGAAGAGAAGAACGATTTTAAGAGGATCCAGTAGACTTTTTCCAAAAAGAAAAAAAAAATCCTCCTTTGCATTTGGGATCAGCATTATTTGAATCGCTTCCTCTCTATTTTGATTAAAGTGATTCTCCTCGAGTCCTCTCTTCATATGCTTCTAAGCGTGTCTGGTTTGTATCACCAACATCTTGGAAAGAACTGATTCAAATCCATCTTGCCTCTTTCCTCCTCTGGTTAATGGGCAGAAATGTGCACTTTCCTTGCTCCCCTTGGGGCTGTGCCACAGCTGAAAATACTCTCTTAGCCCCTACCCCACTGCCAGTCAGTGCTTGGGCTAATATTTCTGTGGTCGCTAACTGAGATTTCAAAATGGTGAGAAGGTCTCCAGAGGCAAATGCTATAAGGGAGCCAATGACAGTTATTAAATACGTGCATGGAGTGCATGCTTTTTTAATGGAAACAATGTGGTTTGATGGTATTTACATGATATCTAGGGTTGTTTTAGGACGTCATGAATGGCTCCCCATTCCAGATTGCCCCTCACCTCTGTGTCTCCGTGTCTTCCAGCCTGCCCCAGCCTCAAGAAGATTGCTTTCCTTTGCAGTGTTTTGCACGAACAACATTCACTAAGAAGGTAGTTCAAGCATCACTTGCTCATGTTTCCATAAGCATGAGCCCAGCTAGGTCATGAGCACAGAAAATATGCATTTTCTGTGGTGTATCATTCAATTCAAGTCTTTTTTTTTAAATAATTTATTTATTTGACAGAGAGAGAGACACAGCGAGAGAGGGAACACAAGCAGGGCGAGTGGGAGAGGGAGAAGCAGGCTTCCTCGTGGAGCAGGGGGCTCAATGTGGGACTCGATCCCAGGACTCCGGGATCATGACCTGAGCTGAAGGCAGACGTTCAACAACTGAGCCACTCAGGCACCCCCATTCAATCCAAGTCTTAACTACAAAGCTGCGGGACAGCTAATGGGTTTGCCTTCAAAGTTCCTGCCAGCAAGAGGATACTCGGATAAAGGTAGGGTTATGATTCCCAAAGAAAATCTTTAGGAGTCCCCTTTTGCTCCTAGGTGCTCTCCTGCTCTGAAATCCTAATACACAAAGACGTGAAAGGGAGACAAAAATCTCATGCCATTTTTGTTTTTCTGTAGTAACGTATATGTCAGTGGGTGCAGGTGAGTTTTACTCTAAAGTAAATCTCAGGAGTCTCTATCTCCATTGATACCGACTACCACAGTCAACGTTGGAAGTTAATTCAGAGTAATTGCTAGGATGTGGCTCTATTGTGTGTCAGTCAGCGTCTTCGTTAAGTTAGTTGTCTTAGTGATTGAATCAAATGGCCCCATGTGATAGGATTGTTGGACTACTCATCAGTCTGGAGAGTGTCAATCCTGTAGAGATACAGGGACTGTGGGAAGAGGCAAACCAAACAGGTATAATATTCCATACAAGGAGTTTCAGTATTACAACCTGTTTTTCTCACAGTATCTATCAAGGAATGTTATACAACAATTAAAAAAAAAATCGCTTTAAAACAGACACAGAATGAAATACAAATGTTTATTTGCATAAAGTGCAAATTTTCTGTATTACACGAGAGAGACTATAAGGTTTTTGAAGGAAGCAAACAGGACACGTGTGAATTTGTACCTTATATAATTGAAAATATTAGAGTTTATTCTATTTGATTTAGGATTTTGGTCCAATAGTCTTGCTCAAACTTTCTATTTATCATGCTTTCCTTCAACAGGCTGATACTACATCTATAAAAGGAAAGAAAATACCCAGGAGATCATGGCAATCTATTTCCCAGCTTCAATTTTCCAAATTTTTAAATATTTCAGATAAGCTTATTTTGTTTTTAAAGTTTCAGCTAATTGCCTCAATTTCTTTAGCTTATAGGAACAGAAAAAAATAACCTAGATGATCATTGAATAACATGATCAAGAACAGTGTCCGTTTATTCCATGCGCACCTCAGGCTCTGGGCTAAGCAACGGACATGCATCAGCTCATTCAAACCTCGCAACACCCAGAAGGTGGATTGGAGGAGTTGGAGCACCTGCCCAAGGCCGCCAGCTTCAGTGAGAAGTCAGGACTCAGTCCCAGGCCTCTCCAGCTGTGATGTACATGCTTTTAGCACTGGGCTCATTTGGGAACCGAGAGGCATCTCCACTATTACCAGTCCCACCCTGACGCAAAAAGAACATGAAGATGCTGAGAAATGAGTGGCCAAGAGACTATGCTTGTTAGCCCTCCAGCACTGCCCTTGGATCCCAGGCTCCCGGCTCTCAGTTTGGGTAGAAAAGTCCTTTCCCTACTGCCTCAGTTCTGCATCTCAAAAGCCATGCAAGGTGCACGTTGACCTAATTGAATGGGGCTGGTAAAGAAGCTGAAGTTATGGGGTTCCTTAGCCCTCACTGTGGCCTTTGAGATGAGGCTTGCAGTTTTCTACCAAGTCTCTGGCATAAAGTTACCATAATAACACAGCCCGGAAAAAAACTCTACATTCTCCCAAGAGCTATCATTGGAAAGGTAACGTAGACGCTCAGTTGTTGTCCTACTTGGTAGAGGGGGTCTGCATGTGGCCACTGAGCCCTTGAAATGTGGCTGGTCTGAATTGAGCTGTGCTGTAAGTGTAAAATACACCTTGATTTTAGACTTAGAACAACAAAGAGAATGTAAAATAGCTCATTAATAACTTTTACATTGATTACCTGTTGAAATGTTAATACTTGGTATAACTGGGTGAAATAAAACACGTTATTTTTTAAGAAAATATATTATTAAAAATAACCTCACCCACTTCTTTTTTCCTTTTTAAAAAAATGTGGCTCATAAAAATTTTTAAATTATGTATGTGGCTAGTATTATATCTACCAGACAGTACTGCTCTGGAAGTATACTATTTGGGTTTGAATTCTGCCTCTGTCATTTCCAGGCTGGATGACTTTGGGCAAGTTATTTACTCCATGCCTCAGCTTCCCCATTTAAAAAACAGGGATAAAAAATAGGTATGCCGTAAGGACTAAATGAGTTAACATCTTTGTAAGATGCTTGGGACTCAAAGAGCTCATGATAAACAACACATACATGTTTGTTTATAACAAATTAAATAAAGCCATTTTTTTTTTTTTTTTTTAGGGGAGAAAGTGACTGTTTTCAAGTCCTACCCTCAGTGACTTTTTTGCTAGGGGCAAATATTTTTCCAGGATTTTTATGCCTAATAGTTACTTCCATACCTCACCAGCTGGGTAAATCTATAATAAAGGCAAGAATTTCTACTGGCAAGTAAGCCTAACATCCTTCTCAAAGTAGAATCCATTTCTGGCTAATCTAGACTGACTTGAAGGACTGAGATAAATTATTGGTCAAGGGAGAAGCAATGCATGCAATTATTTAGCTTAAAAAATCCATATCTAGGGACGCCTAGGTGACTGAGTCGGTTGGGCATCTGACTCTTGGTTTCGGCTCAGGTCATGATCTCGGGGTCATTGAATCGAGCCCCAAGTTGGGCTTCTCTCTCTCTCTCTCTCTGAAATAAATAAATAAAATCTTTTTAAAAAATCCATATCTATGTTTAAAATAATTAGGCAGCTGAAGACTTGGGTGTGTGTGGGGGGTGGTTGTTGACTTTGTATTGGGAAATCGTTCGGAGATCGTAAACTAAGAGTCAGAGCGTTGCTGTAGACAACAGTGCTGAGATATATGCTTGTCAGAATTTTATTCTAGAGAACCTTTATTGGCAGAGGATCATGAACTTGAGTCTCAGGGAGCCTGGGATCTTAGCTCAAAGCAGCCTCAGCAAATGGGGACTTTCCTTGCAGTCTTGTGTTTTCTCTTAACATTTTGTACAGCTTACTCTTTAGTATACCCATGTTTATTTTAATATGAAAATGGAATATTAAATTACTCATCTTCAAGTAAAATTTATACTCTAGGGAACTATCCACGAATATGCAACAGCCAATATTTATTTGCCAGGCATCTATTCTAGGCTGTGGGGACATTACAGTGAATAAGACAAAATTCTTGTTCTGATGGAACTGGCATTCTACTGCAAAACAGGGACAATAAATGCATATGCCGATAAGGGATTTCAAGATGACACAATGAGAGAGAGTGATGTGATAGATATTTGGGGAAAAGGGTTGTGATTGGTATAGAAAGAATAGAGGATTCTCTGAGGAGGTGTTACTTGAACTAAGATCTGAGTGTTGAGAAAGGGTCAAAGGGAAGAGCCTCTGAGGGAAGAACATTTCAGGCAGAGGGTCAGCAAGTGCAAAGGTCCTGTGGGCAAGGAGGCTGGGGTTTATGTGCTTGAAATTTATTTGTTCATCGAACTCATTCTGCTGCAGGCCAGTGGGCACAATGAGAGGGTAGGAGATGAGGATAGAGATGGGAGAGTAGGCTGATCATGGAGGGTTTTGTAGGCCAAGGATGTTTGGATTTTTATTTGAAGTGCCATGGGAAATGACTGGAGATTGACACAGGGGACTGACAAAACCTAATAGATATTATTAAGCTTACTTTGGCTGTTGTGAAGACAAGGTATGATAGTGGAGGCAAAGTGAAGAAGCACGTTCAGTTACAGGGTCCTTGCCGTAATCCAAGGCAAGAAAAATGGTGGCTTATATGGTGGGGAAAAGAGGATAGGGAATTGGGATTTTTGAGAAGTCAAGTTGGTACTTGCCTATGTATTAGAAGTAGTGTGTATGGATTGGATATGGGACAGGCATTGCTTATGAATTGGATACAAATTAGAGGGATCAAGGTAAATGCCTAGATTTCTCACTTGAGCAAATGGGTGGATGGTGCTTTCATTTTTGAGATGGCTAGGTATCTTTGAGACTTCCAAGTGGAAATGTTAAGTTTCTGTTGTATGTATGGGTCTGGAGCTCAGGGAGAGCCCAGGGTTAGAAATCTGAATTTGGAGGTCATCACCATGTAGATATTTAAGCTATAGATCTGTGCAAAGACACGTGGGAAGAGATGCAGAGAAGAGGAGAGCACACAGAAGATCTCTGATTTAGATTTTCTTCTTTGAGTAGTTTAACGGTTTCCATTCCTGTGACTACAGGACCGAGGCTTAGAAAGCAGAGCTCTGACACCGGAGCTGACACTAGTCTTCTATAAACTCTTCAGAGCACAAACCTGTCAGCACAAACACACAATAAAGTCTCCAGGTTTTGTTAATGATGATTGGCTCTTTTGGATAACAAAATACTATGGGAAGACAGAACAGGGAGAGCCCAAGAGAATGTAAACAGGCAGAAAAGCAGCAGGCTGTACTGCTGTGTGGGCAAGAGGAAGTTAATGAACCAGGGAAAACAATCCAAGGCATACTGACGGAAACCTTGACCCCGAGCTCTCACTTGCCAGCCTGGGAAGTGATCTAGTTCTATGGCTGGAGTCATGAGTCATCAAATAATCAACCCACAGATATTTATTGAGTAACTGGTAGATGTTCAGGTGTTGAGACTTTTCAGGCTCCACCAGAAGACTCTTGAGAACAAAATAAATATGATTATCCACATTTTGCCAAAAAAAGAGAGACTTTGTCATTTTGTTCAAGTTCGAGAACGTGGCCGCCGGTAACAAACCAGAAGCAGTAGAAGTAACATTTGCGGATTTCGATGGAGTCCTCTATCATATTTCAAATCCTAATGGAGACAAAACAAAAGTGATGGTCAGTATTTCTTTGAAATTCTACAAGGAACTTCAGGCACATGGTACTGATGAGTTATTAAAGAGGGTGTACGGGAGTTTCTTGGTAAATCCTGAATCAGGGTACAATGTCTCTTTGCTATATGACCTTGAAAATCTGCCGGCATCCAAGGATTCCATTGTGCATCAGGCTGGCAGGTTGAAACGAAATTGTTTTGCCTCTGTCTTTGAGAAATATTTCCAATTCCAAGAAGAGGGCAAGGAAGGCGAGAACAGGGCAGTTATCCATTATAGGGATGATGAGACCATGTACGTTGAATCTAAAAAGGACAGAGTCACAGTAGTCTTCAGCACAGTGTTTAAGGATGATGACGATGTGGTCATTGGAAAAGTGTTCATGCAGGAGTTCAAAGAAGGTCGCAGAGCCAGCCACACAGCCCCACAGGTCCTCTTTAGCCACAGGGAACCTCCTCTGGAGCTGAAAGACACCGACGCTGCTGTGGGCGACAACATTGGCTACATTACCTTCGTGCTGTTGCCTCGCCACACCAGTGCCAGTCCTCGAGACAACACCATCAACCTGATCCACACTTTCCGGGACTATCTGCACTACCACATCAAGTGCTCTAAGGCCTATATTCACACACGTATGCGGGCAAAAACATCTGACTTCCTCAAGGTGCTGAACCGTGCCCGTCCAGATGCCGAGAAAAAAGAAATGAAAACAATCACGGGGAAGATGTTTTCATCCCGCTAACTCTGGGGAACAGGAAGAGGAGGCGGCTGGCAGCTGAAGGCTGGAATGCTTGCTCCTGGATAATCGTAGCTTTTCATGTTGCACCTCTTCAGGTTCTTAAGGGATTCTCCATTTTGGTTCCATTTTGTACACGTTTGGAAAATAATCTGCAGAAGCGAGCGTCAATAAAAGGTTGACATTCATCTGGGGTCAAAAAAAAAATTATTCTAAAATTGGAGAAGGCCCAGAGATGAAAAAACTCCAAGTATTGAGGTGGAATTTTGGTTGTATTTGCCCCGTTAATTATGGGGATTTTTAAATGTCGTTAGGAACATCAACATTAGACTATTTGGGTTGTGTTTTAGATGGTTCTGGTGTGACCATGTAGATATATTGCCGTTTTTTTTTTCTTTTAACAAATAGGGAAATATTTTGTTATTTAAAAGGAGTATAGAACTCTATAGAACCTCAGACCATTATTAGAATCAAATCATTAAGCATTTATTTGTCCAACAAACTCATTCTGCTAGCTTCTTTCAGGTGTATAGTAAGTATTCAGTATATGCTTGGTGCATAGATTAATGAATGAGCTATGTTGGTCAAAAAGGTTTTGTCTGGGGAAGGTCTTTGCCTGAAAAATATTAGAAAAAATAATAGTGTAGGAGAGCAATACAAAGGAAAGGCAGAAAATGGCACAAATATATGTAAAAAAATACATCAAATAAATTGAAATTTTTTGAAACAAAGCATTCACATTCAGGAAGTGCAAATTGTATCATGGTGAGTTCTGGAAGAACCCCCAGAACAGACAGGGTGGAAATGGGGGCAATTTACGAGTTTTTCCCTAAATTCTTACTCCAGAAGTTGGGTGTTTTAGCAGCTTCTTGAAGAAACATCCAGTTCACATTACTTTGATTCCTGATTTGGTAACTGATTTCCAAGAATTAGGTCAGGTTGTCTTGCCATCAACTTTTTCTCTTTAGATAGGCACATGTCTTACCTGCCTGAGCTCTCCTGGTGACCAGATGCGAGTCCTCTGTCTTTGCTCGTTTAGCTGGGGTTTCCGCTCTCCTTGTGCGGCACGCTGCTCTCTGTTTTTGCCTTGTGATTACCAGTTCTTTATTGGTCAGTGGCCAATCAGGTTTCATGTGTACCAAAATGCGGTAATAACACCGCTTGAAATGTTCAGAGTGCGCTATCTCGGAGGAGATCAAAGCACTTTTACAGACAGTATCTTGCTGATCGTCCATACATTGTCGTAGAGTAAATAGGACACAGCTATTATTATCCCTATTTTACACACAAGGAAATGGGACCTCAAGGAGGCTAAATGATTGGCTTCATTTTACAAGTACGCAGTGGGCTAGGAGTGGAGCCAGGGGTATTCTTGGTTCAATTGTGAGGCTCTTTTGACTTTCTAGGGTGGATAGTCTTTTTTTGGTAAAGCTATGTAGAGAGACAAGAATGTCAGAGTTTGTTTTGCCTTTTTTCCCCCCTATTAGATTTATACTGAATTTTTTGTCATATTTGGCCTGTTGCTGTAGGTGGTGTTTATTTTTCAGGAGAATTGTTTATAGGATGGCCTTGGATTTGGATACTGTTGGGATCTGAGTGAGTTGCATGTCAGAAGAGAGTAAATGGCTAAGGCTACTTTTGGGTTTAGGAGATCTCTGAGAAGAGAGATCTCCCTAAGCAGGAAGTGATTCGGTGGAGAGGCGGGGATGGTTAGAACGGTGTCCCGTGGTTCCTCGCATCTTTATGCTGCTTGGACCGGTGGTTGCACTTTCTTCGGGTGGGTGGGTGGGTGGAGGTATATTTCAAAGGGGGAAAACCCACCTGGCTGAGATATTTAATGGAAATCTGGGTTCCTGAGATTTCTGTTGACAGTAGGCTGTAGTTTATCAAACCACTATCTTGTTGGCTATGGCTGCTAAATTAACGCTTTTGGAGAAGTTCAGGGCCTCCTTTGGCAAGGGACTTTTAAAACAGGGCTCGGAGTCCAAGGAGCTTTATCTTGAAATGTTTTATTGCACTCCCTTGTGCAAGAATGATGAAGCCCAGGTATGTGCAGCATAAGGTGTGGTCTTCATACAGTTGCCAAGCGAGACTTGCTTTTTTTTTTTTTTTAAAGTTTTGTTGAGACTTGGGCAATCATAATTTGGGTTTTTCCCAGGCTGATCTACAATATACTCCCTAAAGAATTTGGTAGGCTCTTCGGACTGTGTTGCATCACGGGGGCCGCATGGACCTGACAACACATTCTCTCAAGTTAACAGGGCATAATAGTGCATCTCCAAAAGGTCTGTGCGGGTGGTACTCTTTGTTTGCTGCACCTAGAATGGGGAAGCTAAATTTCCCAAAGCTGGCATGAGTTGTTTGGAAGCTGCTGTTATCAGTTTGGGTTTCCGTCGGCTGGGTTTCAGATAACCAGATTGATACCTAGTCACGTGGATAATGGGAGGACCCAAGCTAGGGAGGAAGTGAGTGTCTGGGTTGGCCGTACAGTCTTGTGCACCAGGCTACCCACAGAAAGGAAAGCTCACAGCGGCTCTGACCCTGAACTTGGAAAGTTGCTTAGCTTCCCAAACCTCAGTTTCCTCTTCCATAATATAGGGATTTCTGTCCTACTTATTGAGCAGGAATGTGTGGCTTAAGATGACGTAGTGTGGGTGAAAGTCCTTCCTCTATTGGTAGAGCTCTATGGACATCACTGTGGCTGTCTATGAAAAAGGGATAAAGACACCCAATTGGTAGGATTGTCACAAAGATGAAAATAGATACCTTATGTAAGGCTCCTAGTATGTTCCTTTACATGGCAATAAACAAAAGTAAATAAAAATAAAATAAATAAAAGAAGTTGCCCTCCCCAGCCTCTCCCCCAAACCCACTTTTTTCTACCCAAGACTCTGATGTTATTCTTTTTACCCTCAGTTGCCCCACCTTTTGACCTATAAGTGAAGTTGGAATTTGCATCTGGGTCCCTAGCTTGGGTTGTTCCTTATGTGGGTCCAGTTCCTTTGGTTGCCCACATTGGATTATATCTTCTCTTAAGGATCTCCATGTCTTCATTACCATGCTCCGAATGTCCTACCTGGGTTTCCTGGCCAGGCTCAACATCCCCCTGCAGCCTCGCCAGCATTCACTGCTGGGGTTGGACCCTCTTCCAAAATCCCACAATGCATACAGATGCTTTAAAAACCTCTATGTAGCCCTTGTTGTACCCTGCTTAATTTACATTGATCTCTCATTTTATATTGTAAAATCTATGATGGCAGGGACTGTATTTAATTATCTTCATTTATTTTTTAAAAATAATTTATTTATTTATTTGTCAGAAAGAGAGAGAGCACAAGCAGAGGGGGCAGCAGAGGGAGAGGGAGAAGCAGACTCCCTGCTGAGCAGGGAGCCCGATGCGGGGCTCGATCCCAGGACCCTGGGATCATGTAGGCAGACGTGTAACCAACTGAGCCACCCAGGCGCCCGCATTTTTGTATACTAAACAGCACCCCATTCAGTTTCTGGCACTCAGTAGGCATGCGGTAAGAGTAAGCGAGTAAATGCATAAGTGAATGAAGCTAACAAATATCATTGCCCTCTCTGCAGTTGCTTATAGATCTCATTTGCCAGGATATTCCACTCAAATTGGTTATAGACTCCGTTTCTGTTTTTCAGTCATGTAACGTATTGGCAGCCGAGCGAGGGTCCAGTTACAATGATCTCTTGCAACAGTAATGTTCTGGTCATCTGCCACTTTGAATATTGTCCAATGACTCCCGTTCCAATGGCTCAGTATGAATTTGTCTCTACGGTGCCAAAAAAGTTAGGCTGTTGAGTTTCACGAGTTGAAAAAAAAATTAGTCCATTTGACTGACTCAGGGCAGTCAAACTAGTTGTTTGGATGGAGGTAGACGAAGCGCACCGGTTCGTTGAGGTTTTCATTTCTGAGCTGGTTGTTTTAATTTTCACCATACAGGCAGGCTCTGTGTGACTTCGAGTGGCATCAGAATGGCTAATGTTGGCTGGTGGTCAGATGGCAGGATTTGAAGGGAGCCAGGAGGACGCTTCAATTATGTGTCCGGACCAGCAGGGGTGGCCTTAGGCAAGTTACGCAAATTTCCCTGTCAGGTATTTCCTGAAATAAAAAAGGGAAGTCATGGATGGGATAGCAGCAATAATTCTGAGAATCTGTGCCCCATTGTGGGTATAACGTGTACCTGTTGCTCAGGAAGGTGGTGACACACTTTGAAAGGCTTGAGCACTGGGGGAGGGAATAGTGTTCCGTTTAACTACGTCTTTTCTCCTGGACTTGCTCTTGCTTCTTCCTCTCCACCTGGCATTTCTTTTTTTTTTTTTTTTTTTTAAAGATTTTATTTTTTTATTTATTTGAGAGAGAGAGAATGAGAGAGAGAGCACGAGAGGGAAGAGGGTCAGAGGGAGAAGCCGACTCCCTGCCAAGCAGGGAGCCTGATGTGGGACTCGATCCCGGGACTCCAGGATCATGACCTGAGCCGAAGGCAGTCGCTTAACCGACTGAGCCACCCAGGCGCCCTCCACCTGGCATTTCTTTTCTTTCTTTTTTTTTCTTGAGATTTTATTTATTTATTTTGGAGGGGGGAGAGGAGAAGAGGGGGAGGGACAAGCAGACTCCATGCTGAGCGTGGAGCCTGACACGGGGCTCTATCCCATAACCCTGAGATCATGACCTGAGCCAAAATCAGGAGTTGGCCGCTCAATCCATTGAGCCACCCAGGGGCCCCATCCACCACTGGGTTCCAGGACCACTGATATGTGTGATGCCCTTAGAAATAAACTTTATTTGAAAGGTAATATATGCAATAGAGTGGTATTATGGTTGTATTCAGGAAACTAAAGAAAAGTCATTATTTAAAAGCCCCACCCCCAGTTTTATTAAGAAATGATTGACACGCATCACTGTATAAGTTTAAGGTGTACAGCATGATGGTTTGACTTACGTATGTTGTGAAATGATCACCATGATAGGCTCAGCTCACATCCATCTT